CTGTGAAATGGACACAAATTTATTTCTGAGTGATCTTTGGGGTTAAAAGTCTCTGAAAGCCTCCTTCCCAAAGTGCCATAGTGTGAAAGGCTCCCGAATTGTTCCGCTTCACAACTGCCCTCATCCTACCTATCGACAAGGTCAATGCAAAAGAAGGTGAAAGTAACTAATTGCAATTTATCATCCTGTTAATAAAGCTGAGGGGGTTTGGCCAGAGTCAGCATTTGCCGTCTCTTGGGAAGCTTGCCTAGCACTGGCCAGGACTGATTCCAGTCAATCAATGACCCCTTTTTTCTCATTGTGTATGTATGTATGAGTGAGAGAGGGAGGGAAGAAGGAGGAAGGAGAGCGAGACATCCACAGAGTTAGAGCACTCAATTTCCATCTATGTTCCTAAAAAGAGACTTTGGTGGGCTTCTGACCTATAACACATGAAAATCCCTTTATTGATATCTCTTCTTCTTTTTTTTTTTGTTTTTACAAAATGTGCTAATTTTACTATTTGGTCATATACTGGCAACCTCTTTAACATCTAGAGACTAGATGTTGCAAAATTGGGACTCACCTGTCCATTATATATACTATATACGCAGCAAAACAAAATGCACAAAACATACAGAAAACAGATATCTGAAAATGTCCAAGTATGAACACACCAACATGTTACTTTTTGCAATTGCTTCCCTCCCACCTCCTCCCCATTATTGAACAAGTACAGATAGTACTACACTGTTCACAGAGGTGCCTTGACAGTTCCATTCCCCCAAGACAATATTTCATATGAATTTTAGCAAAAAAGATATTTACAAAGTGATATTTCACTATGTCTACATTTAATACACATCTGGCACTTCTAAACACCTAGACGGACTAGATGTTTCAAGTAAGGACTCAATTTGTCCAGTATGTACACAGCAATCTTGAAGAAACTGCATACCTGTAACAATAGTTCTAATTTGAAAATGTCTTCAAAATATGAGCATTCTGGCCCTTCACCCACCCAGGGGGCTACAATGCTCAAATTTTCAGAAGACAATCCTTCCTAGGAATTTTAACACAAAACATACAGAATTTGGTTACTAATTCTACTTTTGTCATTGAGTGACAACCTCTTTACATCTAGATATAGGTTAGGACTTTACATACACTTTACAAAGCAAAGTCAAATAAAACCCATAGACATAGAAACAGTGGTTACTCTTGCCTCATGGTAAGCAGGCTGGCATGGCGCTGGCGAGAACCAGAACGCAGTGTGTGCTACTCAACAGCTGGTTTGGCTATGGCTCCCCCAAACATTCCCTAGCCATTTTAACAAAAAGAAATTTACAAAATCTGTCATATTTTACCACTTCTACTTTTAACACGTATCAGGCACTTCAGAACATCTAGAAAGTGTAGATATTTCAAAAAAGGTACTCAGCGCTGTCAACTATATAGATCGAAATGAGAAATAAACTGCACACACAAAACAGTGCTTATAATATGAAAAATATCTTTTACGTATAACCAGTGTGGCACACGACCTCCTTCTAGAGGTCAGGCTTCTCCATGTCCTCTAAGCCACTGACCAACCTGGACAAGTGTGGTTCCTAGAGGGGGTCTAACCACTCCATTCAAAGTCACTTCCAGAAGACATTTCTGATTTTTAAAACAAATGGGCATTTACAGGGTGTTATTTTCTAACTCCATCATGGGTGGGCAACCTCTTGACATTAAGTGTCCAGATGCAGCAGAAGTCTGAACAGGTCTGGGATGAGTTGAGAGCAGCTTTGCACATCATATGCACAGGCCTTCTACAAAGGGCCACCAGAGCTCCCACAGGGTGGTGGCACTTCCCATGGCCTAGTGGTATGTTTCTCTGCTGTTCCTCACACCAACTGCCCGAGGGCCGAGGGCCGCTAACCAGTCCACCTGTCTTCCACCGGGCCTTTGCCCACCCTCCAGGGAGGTTGAGGTCTGTGCCTTGCCTGGACAAGGTTCAGTCTCGTGGGCTGAGGTGCCGTCTCGCGGGATGAGCAGGAGAGGTTGATATATTCTTAACTGAAATTTTGTCATGCGTCAAATGCTCATCGAAAATAGCTTGCTGCAGCCAGGCGTGGGGGTGTATGCCCGCAATCCCAGCTACTCGGGAGGCTGAGGAAGGAGGATTGCAAGCTCCAGACCAGCCTGGGTGACTTAGTCAGACCCTGTCTCAAGATAAAAATAATAAAAAGGGCTGAAATATGGCTCAGTGGTAGAGTGACCCTGGGCTCAATCCCCGGTAACATCAACAGTGACAAGGGGAACGAGGAAATAACCTGATCGAGTAACTCAGTCCAGGGCCACGTTGCACATATCACGATATAAGATGGATTGAAAATGAAGACGACGTGCAAATAAGCCAAAGTGTTGATCTTTACTGATTGGTTTTCTTCTCTGTAAAACATAGACCTGACTTATGAATTCCTTTCTTAGACTCCAGTGCCGATTTCAGTTGGAAAGACTGTTAGAAAATAATCAAACATTATCTAATAGTAAAGCATTGCATGCAATATATAATAAAGCATTTATATACTATTATACAATAGTATTATAAATTATTTATATGACCTATGAGAAAGAAGTTTATTGTATGAAATAATAAATACACAAATAGTTTGAAGCACAATAAAGAGCAGACACAGACTTGGGAGTCATGCGCATCTGGGAAGCCCTTTCTGCTCTGGGCTTCCATGTTTTGTCTTTGCCCTAATTTTCCTAGTTATTTCCCATTAATTTCCAGCTACAAGACTTTGTTTTGTTTCCTTACAATCTCTGTAGTCTACCTTGGGTCTTCCTGCTCCAGTGTTTATATCTAATTCTTGCACCTAAGACACATTTCCAAATTTCATTCCTCATAGCAGACCTAGCTGGTGTCTCTTTCTTCAGAAATCCTTGCTTGTTTATTGATTGATCTCACCAATATTTACTGACATTCATTGTGTGTTCAGCTGTACACACAGAGATGCATAAGGCAGGGGACTCTACCCAGGAACATCAAAAGCTAACAGGACATTCACCATATGGTTGCTGGAAGGGTTCAAATGGCTGGCTATAAAGGTATCCACTCATATGATCTTTAAAAGAAATTTATGAGATAGGCACAATGTTGTTTTCTTTATTTTATAAATTGAGAAACTGAGGGATGTAGAGATGAAGTAACTTGACTTTGGTCATATAGCTGTTACGTTGCAGACCTGGGACTGGAGACCTGGTCATCCATGGCAGGAGCAAGACAAGTGTTGACAAATTCTTTCATCTGAGTTTCAGAACGAAGGTGCCAGATGTTTTAGAGATTCTGCTAGAATCTGATCTTCCTGCAGCTAGGGAGCTGGCCTATGCTCTGGGCTTGATGGACCTTGAGGAGATGGGAGGCAGAGCAGGGCAGAGCCTCAGTTCCCAGTTGGCAGAAGGCCCAAGTCTGAATCTCAGCTCTACGCTCATTAGTTATGTATACTTGAGCTAATTAATTCATCTGTGCCTCAGTTTCCCACATATTAAACCTGGATAATGATGATGATGATGATGATGATAACGCTAATGAACTCATTTGTTGTAAGAATTAAATGAGGGGAGGTAGATAATAAACGTGCAGAATAGAAGTGCTATATGAGTGTTATTAATATCACCACAGAGCTAGAATTATGTAAAATACTCGTTTCTGTGTGTGGCTTTTATTTTTTCTTTTGATGCCTTAGGGAATCTAAATATCCTGCATTGGGGTAGTCCCTGTCTCCCCGACACTGGGGATTCTAGCCAGGGCCTCACACATGGTAAGCAAGAACTCAACCACTTAGTTACATCCTCAGCACTTATTTTGAGACAGTCTTGCTAAATTGCCCAAGCTGTTCTTGAACTTGTGATCCTCCTGCCTGAGTCTCTGAGTAGCTGGAATTACAGGCGTGAGCTACTGTGCCTGCCTCAGAGAACCGTCTGAACATCTCTGGTTTACACTTGCCTCAGCAAGGTACTAAATGGGTTCATTGGTGGATTCTGTAAACTCATGGAACTGCCCTTTCATATTTGACGCTCCTCAGTTGACTGTCTTACACGATTATCATACAAATGTGATTTTTCTTCTGAGGACATGTGCAGCAGACCAGAAGAGTTGTCCCTAGTACTTTCCACACTTGACTACGAACTTGCCCTTGAAGACAGACCCTCTCCCACAGCTTCTGTGATTCTGGTACCATCACAAATCTGTCATGCTCATGGCTGTCTGCACCAGCACAGTCAGAAGGAGTTGCTAATTTATTAGTGTAGTACAAGGTTAGAATTTGGCTCAGAAAATGCTTGGGGTAAATATAACCGGACCCAATTTTTCTGAAACTATCTAGAGAAGAGTCAATCATTGGAAGAAATAAACAACCTCTTAATCCACCTTTTTCTGCTTTCTTAGGTTCTTCCCCGTGTCCACTGTCCCCAATTAAATATAACATGATCATGGTTTATATATTCACGATTCCAAGATTCTTTCACAAAGAAATTGGATTCTATCCTGTTCTGAGGAAATTGCTATAAAAATGAGAGGGAATTTCTGAAAGTATCTGTAGGCCCTTGCTATAATGCTACCTTACGACACAATTTAAGCATGAAGTGCAAGGACAATATTATAGAGAACTTAATCTCTAGTTTGCACGCATCCTGAATGTCCCAGTAACTATTTTGCTCAGTTTACTTAGATGTTTGGTTTTCTTCCTGAATAAGACCGATGTTCCCGATAATGTCTTGATCTTGTTCACATTTCCCTTGATGAATGCATTCTTTTTGGAGTGGAATATCTTTATGAAGAAGTCACCCATGTGAGGCCTAGAAACAAAGCAAAAAGAAGAAAAAGCACCAGGAGTGGTGGTGCACGCTTACAATCCCACCAACTCGGGAGGCTGAGGCAGGAGGATGGCAAGTTCAAAGCCAGCCTCAGCACTTAGTGAGGCCCTAAGCAATTCAGCAAGACCCTGTCTCAAAATAAAAAATAAGGGGCTGGGGATATAGCTCAGTTGGTAGAGTGCTTGCCTCGAATGCACATAGGCCCTGGGTTCAATCCCCAGCATCACCACAAAAAACAAAGGGGGCTGGAGATGTGGCTCAGTGGTTAAGTGGCCCAGGATTCAGTGCCTGGTTCAAATTTTAAAAAATAAGAGGAAGGCCTCCAGCTCTGAGAGGCATCGGGCATCATGATGAAGAGGCCGGACTCTAAGGGACAGATGGTGTTCCTGCCAATTCACTGCTTGGCCAAGGGATGCCACTTTTCTCTTTAGCAGTTTCTCTTCTTTTTTCTTTTTCTTTGTTTTTAAATCTGTAGTAACTGGAGCTTGAAGTCAGGGCCTCACACATGCCAGGCAAGTAAGTGTTCTACCACTGAGCCACATCCCCAACTCCATGCAGGTAGGTCCCTCTTTAAAACAAAAAGGGCTGGTTAGGGGACGAAGCAGTTGACGTGCTCCAGAGGTTAGAAGGGTGCCTGGAACTTCCATGTTCTAAGTATGGAGCTGCTTCCTTACTCGCTGTAGAAACCCCTCAGCCGGGCGTTTTAGCGTGTGTCCGTCTCCCTGCTCACCCCCAGTCCCTTTGAGCGCTCGGGGCCCTCTTGCTTTCCAGCCTTGATAACAAACGGGGAACAAATGTTAGCTGTCTGTCCTGGGTGGATGGGTGTGCACATCTGCTGGTTTGGGGTCCACCGTGTTCTGTCCTGTGCCGGATTCTCTTCTGCCCACCGCTGGCCTTTTTGATGTGGCTGATTGGGCAGTCTAGGGCGGGGACAGGCAGAAGTTCAGGAGCAGGATGAGATGTAGGACTTGGAGACAGGGAGACGTCTCCGTCACTGGAGAGTTTGACACAGCCCTGTGTTTTCCTGGTGGCCAACTCCTTTCGTCTTCCCCCTTTCTTCTCTGTCCCGAATCTTCTTCTCTGTCCCGAATCTTTGTCGATGTCCTAGGTTCTCAGATGTATATTTCACGATTCTTTCATATTTGATATCAACTTATATTTAATGATGAACATATGCCCCCCATACTCTAAAACGTGTCCCTCGGCTGCCTGAATTGTTTCTGTTCCTGGTTGAATGACTTCTGAAGCCATTGTCTTCATTAATAGCCGTAAGTGTTCACCCTGCTTCATCTTCTTTATGTAAACAGCGTTTTCTGGTTATTTCTCAGTCTCTGGTCTGGTTTTGCCTACTTAATTTTCTAGATTGATCCTTTGCGTCCACCTCAAATACCCCATTCTACTAAAGGGAATATTCCTTCTCTCTTCCCGCAAAACCTCTGGGTAGTGTGTTGCTGAAAGGCCAGAAAAAGAAATGCCAATAGAATGAAAAAAATACAGAAAAAAAAAGGTTTTGCCAAGGTGAAGCTCATAAATCAGAAGGACAAAAGTAAAATGTAAAACGTGATAGAGGTGAGAGAGAAACCAGAGGTTCACGTTGAACTTGGAAACCAATTCTTACTAATAACAGAAGGGAAAAAAAAACTCATATCTATTGCTATTTACAGTATCTTTTAGAGATATTTAAATTGAAGTTCTCAGCACAGCGTGGAACATAAGTAGGTGCTAAATAAAAGTTAACCGTGATTGCGATTATTACGCCGATCTGTATTTAAGACATCATTAACATCAGTGGTTACCAATTATAATTTAAGTGGGTAATCAAGAATGAAGGTACTGTGTATTTCAAAAAGCTGTAGGAAAAGATTTGGAATGTTTCCACTGTAGAGAAATGATAAATATTTGAAGAGATAGATATATTTACCCTGATTTTAACATTTCACAATGTATATATGTATTAAAACTTCACATGGTATCCCATAAATATGTGCAGGTTTTTTTTTTTTTTTTTTTTTTTTACTGGGGATTAAACCCAGAGATGCTTTAACTGGGTGACATCCCCAGTCTTTTTACTTTTCAGGACAGGGTCTTGCTAAGTTGCTGAGGCTGGCCTTGAACTTGTGATCCTCCTGTCTCAGCCTCCTGAGTCACTGGGTTTGTAGGCAATGTGCCATCCCATCATGCCTGACTAATATGTGGAGTTTTTATAAATTGCTTAAAATGCAACTTTAAACAAAAAGTTTTTAAAAGTGCTAAGTACTTTACATTTATTATCTTAGTCCTTACAATACCATTATGAGGCATTTACAAAAATCTCAATTCAGTATGTTTTTATTTCAAATATCGTTTTGTCCTTTCTGTAAGTTTGATTTGGGACTTCTAAATATTTTGAATATTTTTCTTTGGCATATATGTTTTTCTTTACCTTCTTGAAAGTTTAGATGAGTAGTTTCAACAACTGTTTTTCCATCTTTTTTTTCTAGTAATTTTATCCTGTGTACCACTTCTGGGTCCTTTTGATTGCTTTCCCCCATTTCAGGAGTCATAGTTTCCTGCTGCCCTACATGCCCAGGAATTTTTCATCGTTTCCTTGGCATTGTGAATTCTACCTGGTTGGATGTGGGATAGTCTTGTATATATTCTTAAGCTTTGTGCTGGGATTTAATTAAGATACTTGGAACCAGTTTGATTCTTTTGAGAATTGCTTTTGAACTCTGTCGGCAGCATCAGCAGCCTTGAGTGTGGGGCTGGCCTGAGGCAATTCCCTTCTGTTACCTGGTACTCTATGTACCAAGAGGTTTCTTCTGTCAGGTGGAAACTCAGACTGTTCTAGGAATTCTATGAGCTCCAAAGATTGTTTTTCCTGCTTCTTTTGGGTGATGTTTTTCCCCTGACCCCTGGCAGTTTCCTTATAGGCATTTACAGATCAGTACTTAGCTCAAGTTTTAAAGTGGATCCTCAGTAGAACCTAAGACCTCTCTTGCTGTGTGCAGCTCTCTGCCCTGTGAATGTTAACCTTGTTGGCCTCTCCACTCCCAGCTCTCAACTCCTGGAGACCACTGGGCTTCTCCTGGATTTCTCTTCCTTGTGTTATGGTCCCGGGATCTTCTCCGGGGACAATCACAGATTGTTTCTCTTCACTCAGGATCACTCTGCTGTGTTTCCTGTTGCCTGACATTCGAGAGCTGTTATTTCATTTATTTTGTCCATCATTGAGGACAAGAGGGTAAATCCAGTTCCTACTCCTTTGTCATGGCTGGAAGTGAACATCCTAAAGTCTTATTATTAATTTTTTTAATGGACACAATACATTTATCTATTTATTTATCTTTAGGTGGTGCTGAGGATTGAACCCAGGGCCTCACACATGCTAGGTGAGTGCTTTACCACTGAGCCACAATCCCAGCCCCCCTAAAGTCTTATTTTTATCCCTGTTTTACTGATGAACAAGTAGACAGGAGATTGATAGTAAAGGAGATTGTTTCATGTACAGTCCATGATGAGCCTGTGGCGGAGGCTTGCTGCCTGTGTATCTGTGCTTCTAACAACCGCCAAGCACTGACTCCTAAGGTTGCTGGTCCTTAGTACAAGGCTGAACTCACCCATCCACTCTGTCTTCCCCAGCCTTCCCAACCATGATGGAGTCGGAGGACCAACATTAGTTCCAAGTGTGTAAATAGTTTTCATTTGTGAATATCCCTAAGGGCAAACCCAGATTTCGATGATCACTTAACACCCCGATTTTCACATATTGGTCCATTTATTTATGGAAGAAGTTCGAAATAAAACAGAATGAGGCAGGCCTAGGAATTTCAGGTCCTAAGCACATCAATCGTTTGGATTTCTCAGAGCTGCTCATGGCACCCAGGTGACAGGTGAGGTACAGAACAGCAAGCTTTGCATCACACACAGTTTGCTTGCGGGCTGTATCTCACCCCTTTGTCTCCATTCAGGGTCCCATCGCAGTAAAAGTGAGCAACATTCAAATAGGATAAATGAGGGTTTCCACTAGTTTAAAAGTTAGAAAAAGTCAGTCTTGTGGTAGTTAATTTAAGACAGTGCACCACTGATGTGTTGCTGGGACCAGGGAGCTGCAAGTCCCCACTTTGGTAGCAGGACTCTGATGGAGACCTAATCTTTTTTTTTTTTTAATCATAAGGACACCAGTCCTATTGGATTAGGTCCCACTCTAAAGACCTTGTTTCACAGTAGTTACCTCTTTAAAGACTCTCTAAATGCAGATGAGATCCTGGGGGTTGCGACTTACATAAATGAATAGGGAGAAGGGCAAAATTCAGTGCACAATTGACATTAAGAGCTGGAAAGGGTAGTACTTTATTTAACCTTCCTGTTCTTTAAACTTGTTGCAGTGACCAGCATGTTTCCCTTATGCAAAACTTACTGACTGGTTGGCATATTTGGATTGATTAAAAACTAGATAGCTAGCTCAGGCCATCGCAGACAGCGACCTCATCCCTCTTTTGGTCTCTGGTCAGTAAAGAGAGACTTCGGCTGCTTCTCCATGTGATCAGTCCATCCGCTCTTTTAAGGCACCAAGGTGCCACTTGAAGGATGGATCCTTCTGGTGTCCTCAGTGATACCCTTGTTCTTGGAAAGAGTTCCTTTATCCCATTTCAGAGAGCAACTTCTTGCTATTTTTTTTTTTAAATATAAGAAGAGCATGATGCTGGGTTTGCAAAGAGTTTTCCCCACAAACTCCAGCACCCTCTTTGTTACCCTCACTCACCTTGAACTTGGTAACTGGTAGGAGCAGCAGCTAGATCCCGAAAGGCAATTGAGTGAATCCCTTAAAGTTCCTTTCTCAGATGCACTGAAATCCAGGAAGCCTTTCTCTGTGAGTTGTTTTCCATGATTATTTGTGACCCTTGATTATTTTCATTTTGGGATGAGCCAGAAAGAAGAAATGAAATACTGTGTATTTACTGTGTGGCAGAATTTGACTGTGACTTCTGCCCCTCTTAGGCAGTTTTCTCTGCCAATCTGCATATCTTATTTATTTCTGGAACATATTTGAATCCTTTATTACTCTGAAAATATACTGTAATCTTGATTCCTGGTGGTGTACTTATTTAAACCCCATCTACAAATGTAGCTCATAAACATGAGGGGAAATGAATTCACATCTGAAAATCTATTAATCTAACCTTCCTCATTATATAAGTGAACCAATAAATAGCAAATAAATCAAAGTATGTGGAACAATAAAACAAA